ATAGCCATGGGTCACTTCAGAGTGAACTCATTTGTGATCTTCTTTTATTGGAAGTTGAATCGGTTGATGGCAGTGCCTCGTTTAAACTCCACTTTGGTATTGCTAGTAGTGTCAATGCCAGCGTTTCTTTTTAATTGTGCAAGCGTTGATAGCAGTGTCTCGTTTGTGGTTAGTTATAACAGCGTTGACAGCAGTGTCTCGTTTGCGGACACCTCATTGTACATCAACTCGCTGATGCCGGGTTTCCTATCGACACCATCATCATCATCCTTAACCTCCTCGTAGCCATTTTGCTTAGAGCTGTAGCCACATGTTTGCTCGAGTTCCACCTGGCCGTCCAGCCGCGGCGGTGCTCCTCAGCCTGCCTTGTCACAATGCCAGCACGCGGCAAGGCATCGCCCCTGCCACCCCCGGCCCCGTGCGATGGCCCGTGGGAGATTCTGCCGGATCCGCCCGCACCGACTCCTCAGCCAGGTGTCGACGTGGTCTTTGAGCAGGCTCACCTCGAAGACATCCGCCGTACACCAGGGATGGGCGGCAAGACCGCCTGCCAGTGGCAGCGCGCGCTGCGCGCCGAGTGCATTGTCAACAACTTGTCGTTCAAAGACGTAACAAACGACCCGTCCTACGACTGGAAGCAACTGCTTCGGTCTGCCGCTCCGGGTTTCGCTGAGCGCATAATCGGGCAGGGCATCGCCCAGGTTCTCTTTCGCATCATCGAGACAGAGCGCGACCCTAACTACTCCAACACGGATGGCCACGGCAGGCACTTCTTCGAGTTCCGTCGTGCAGACGGTTCAGCCATGCGCCTGCATTACCATAAGAACGGCCGACCCGATGAGCCCACCTATGTCGGTCCACCACGCGCCGTTGCTCAGCCTGCCGTGCCTGAGCCTGGCGCTGCTCAGCCTCATGTTCCTCGTGGCGGCGCTGCTCAGACTGCCGTGCCTGACGGTGGCGCTGCTCAGCCTGCCGAGACTGGCGGTGATGCCCCACTGCTCTTCACACAGGAGCACCTGCAAGAGGCAGCCTGCTCGCGCCAGATTGTGGGCCGCGACGAAGCCAGCGCCGCTCTCCAATCGCTGTTGCACTACCACCATGGCGAGACTGCCCCAGGTGCTGTTGACATCACCGATGGCTCAGCATTTGACTGGCTTCGATGGGTGGCACATATCGAAGATGCGCGCGACGTCATCCGCAATGGCGTCCACAGGGTCTACGCTGTCCGCTGGAAACCGCACTGGGCTCCAGAGGCCGTCTTCTGCTACGGCAACAACACCTACAGCACACTGGTGCCCCGCAAATCGCGCTACACAGGCTCGTGGAGCCACACGCGAATTGTGACTCACCGGAACGCCAATTGGGTGACCGAACCGTTGCTATCTGCGGCCCCTGTGGCAGCTACGCCGTGGCTGGTGTTGCGGGATCAAATAACCTGGGAGTGATCTCTGGCAAACGAGATGTGGTGCTTCTCAGCCTGCACTCATGTGACACGCAATGCCGTGCCCTGCAATCGCGTGGTGTTTCTCAGCCTGCACTCGCAGGTCCTTCGGAGGTCAATTGTTATGAGTTCGGCACGGTCTCGGTCAAGTACAGCGTGCTGTGGGGATCCCGAGATGGGGCCTGGCTCAAGGTGCTCAAGACGTACTGGAGTGTCCCAGAGCCGGAGTGCCAGCTGATCCTCGGGAGTTGGAACGGCATTTTCAGGCCGTGGCCGGACACGTTCTGGATCAGGACGGGGGGGTCCGAGCCCGAGATGGAGTGCTAGCGCTCTGCAGTACAAGTGCTTTTCAGCATGCGACATCCTGCGGTGCTTCTCAGCCTGCAGGGTTCGCAGCGTGCGGTTTGCAATGCATTCCTTTTCAGTATGCGAGTTCCTGCGGTGTTTCTCAGGTTGCAGGGCTCCGAGGCTCTTCGCTTCGATGCCAATGTTTTCAGACACCGTAGCTCCGTTCCGTAAACATCTTCCAAGAGCCGCTCGCAACCTTTTGCAGCTGGCGGTCTGCAGACGTAGTCTGTCTCAGCATGCGAGCTCCCGCACGCTTCGCCGGCTTTTGCTGCGCGGACAATTTTCTCACACACGTCAGCGCCGTTTGTAGGCGTCAGAAAAACATGTAGACATTCACGAAGGGCTCAGTCTGTATATCGTCACATCATTACATACGCAGTCGTCGAACACATCGGTGTACATTCAGCGCTTTGTCCTTCTAGCTGGGTCGCTTCGTGCTGAGGCTGAGGCTGATGCAGGCTGAGGCTGAGGCAGGCTGAGGCTGAGGCCGAGGCCGACGGCAGACTGAGGCTGAGGCTGAAGCAGGCTGAGGCTGAGGCAGAGGCAGGCTGAGGCTGAGGCTGAGGCTGAGGCAGGCTGATGCTGAGGCAGGCTGAGGCTGAGGCTGAGGCTGATGCAGGCTGAGGCTGAGGCAGGCTGAGGCTGAGGCCGAGGCCGAAGGCAGACTGATGCTGAGGCTGAAGCAGGCTGAGGCTGAGGCTGAGGCAGGCT